AAAAAAAAACACCATCATTCTGTATGCACAAGCAGTATCCAGCCCTTTCCCAAACTGTCATTTTTAGTTTACCATATAAATATACACTTCTTATTACTATTTTTTTTAACACACTCATTACTTTTTCAGGTTTAAAAATGTACATATAATATTCCAAAACTAACACAAACACTGCAAGTGAACCCATGGTGCCTTAAATGAATTTACAAGTGGAATGACCAATATTAAAAGAACTTACCAACCATTATCGCCATCTGTTGGTGGTGGTTGGAGTGGACGCCTCTCTAGAGCCTTGCCTCTTAACTGGGAACATTCAAAAGCTGCAAGTTCTCTAGCAAAGGAGAGCGTGCGTGCACGCACACATACACACGTGTTTGCACACACACATTGGACAAAATCTGTAAGGATATTTACTGATATGCATATCCAGGACTTCAGGTGATTTTAACTTTTTAACCTACTTTTTTCTGTGTCTCCTAATTACAATAAGCATGTGTTTCTTTTGTAATTAGATAAATTAACAAAAAGGTAGAATTTAGGAGGAACTAAGTTATGGGGACAGAGGAGAAAATTAAGCTTTATTTACTAAGTGCAAACCTAAAATATACTTAGATTTTATATTACTGCAAATGAAAAAAGAGATATAAATGGAAATGGGGGAGAAATGAATAAAGCTGTGGTGCAAATTAAAGTTTCAGTAGCAAAATGTTTTATCAGCCAAGTTCACTTGGGCCAATAGATTTAAATGTGAGTTTTTACTTGTTATACTCTCTTTGAAATTCTAATTATTCTGTAGTTATGTCCTTTAATTACTCTTTATCCTTTTACTGTCAGAGCTTCCTCTAGAGTGGATTATCTACTCTTAGCAAAGAATATTATAATCTGAATATCCTGGACTGTGGTCTGAGCCTTGTTACTTTGAAGCTGGATAAAACCCAAAAAATCTTCATAGTTACCTTTTTTCCTGTAAAATTCTATGGCTTGCTTTCTCAGGCACACACCTCCTTGATGTTCTTTCAGTGTGAATTCTGCCAGTCAGGAGGTCTGTTTCTTCTAGTATATCATATGTCCCTGTTCCTTAATGATGACTTTTAAAAAACATTAAGCTGCAAATAGGAACAAGGAGAGGTGAAATCGCTTGCTTTATGACTTTGTACTCAGATGTCTGTTACTTTTGTAGGCATTGGTGATTGACAAAAGAGTTAGACTAAATCTTAACTATCTGTAATGGTTCTTCTCCCCCCATTATTAAATCTTCCTGTAAGTAAAACTCGTGGAGAGAGATGGTGACTGTGCTGAATGCTGCTTCCCCTTATCCTACTTCTTGAGTGGGACCATTTGATAGACGGCTCTTCCCCATATTCTAGATTTAGATTTCCTAGCCTTTTGCTCATGCCACCAAAATTACTTGTACTATACTCCATTCCCACAATAAGTGACAGAGTCGCCTGCTGAGGAGCTGACTTAGCCAGGGCCTGACTGGTTTAGCGTGTCACATGTTCTGGTTCTCACGTTTGCATTTTAATGGGATTCTCTTGTGCTGTGAGTGGTGTGACTGAATGGACATCCCAAAAGAGAAGATATTTTAGGAGGGGACACCTTTTGCCATCCCTAAGGTAACTCCAGATAAGCAGCTTGTGTGCAGGAGGCCAGCATGCAGTAGCACCGCAGACAGGGTGGAAACTGTTCTCTGACTTTCTGTGAAATCATGGTCTTTCAGTCTTCACCCACAAATCTTGGTGAAAACCACAATAGAAAGTAAAACTGATAAATTTCCAAAATATCTCTTCTGCTCACTCTCTTCTGTCTCCTTACCATCTTTCAACCATGAGCCACGTGTTTGTTTCTTACATTTAAAACAAACAAAACATCGCTTGGACTTGGAAAGTGAATCTAAGAGACCTTCCATATTCTTCCTCTCCTTTCGTACTCTTGAGTGTATGAAGGAAACACTGTTTCCTCAAAATCATTTATAGATAAGTTGCAGTGAGAACATGAACACTGTTTATTTTTGAGCTTCTGGATTTTAGGCAAGGTCTTAGGCTCAAAACTTCTATGAGTTTTTGTTTTCTCATTTGCATAAATGGGAATAACACCTACCTTATAAAATTATTGTGCAGTTAATTAAATAAGATGGTATATGTAAAGTACCTGGCACAGTCTTTGGAACCTAAGAACTCAATACATGTAATCCCCCATCTGGTTTCTTATAAAATAGCCAACTAAATGGTTGAGGAGATTGGGGATGGTTTCATGGAAAAGATAATGTTTGAACAGGTCCTTCAAGTTTAAGCATGGGTAAAATGGGGTAATGGAGAGATGAAAGAGACATGTTTAAAGCAGCATTTAAGGTAAATTAATGCAGCAGTCAGGGTTGGAAGGAACAGAAACTGGAAGCAGGGTGAACTGCCGTGTGCTTTTCACCTAAGTAGGCACAGTGAAGGGGAGGAGTGGATATTAGAAATGTAGCAGAGACAAAACTCAGAGAAGTTATTGGCTGACTGGATTCAGGAATGACCAAGTTGATGATGTCTTAAGGCCCCTGAGCTTGGTGGAAGAGTGGGAGAGGAGACATGGAAAGATGTGTTTGGGGTGCTGTTGAGGATGGGAGCTAGAAAATGGGTGGCCGGAGGGGATATGTAACTAGATATTTAAGTGTCTTAATAAAATATTGATATTTCATTAAAAAGAGGAAGAGACAAGAAACAAAGCTGTGGGGGGATATTTTTTATAAGAACGTGAAGGAGAAATGGACGTCATCAGAGATTAATTCATGAAAACCATGGCACTGTGGATGAATTTCCTAAGAAAAGAAAGGGCTGAGGACCACATATTAAACTTGACGAAAGTTCTTGGTTGAAGAAGGAGCAGAGGAAGCCAAATAGACAAAGAACCCCTAAAGGAGGGCGGAGAAAGGTGCAATGAAATGTGAAGCATCAGGCCCCAGAGAGAGAGGTGGCCTCTTGTGGGTATGGAAGGAGGGGGCTGATGTCCCCTGCAGCAGAGATCAAGGGAGCAGAGGAGGTCGGGCATGGATTGATCGCCCCTGCCACCGAGAGCCTTTTCTCTGTTCCTACTCCTCCATCTCCCTTTCTCCATGTCTTTCCTTATCTTTCCCATCATTAAATGTTGAAAACAGAACCAGAACAATAGAGGGTGAACCCCTTATCTTCTCCCAAACTTCTTTCTGTTTGGTTTACAAAAGGCCCTGAACTCTGAGACCTCGTGCAAAGCTTCTTAATCTCTGTGACTCTCAATTCCCTTATCCTAAATTACAGTCATACCAACTTTTTTTCCTGCTTTTGGAAAAAGTATGAGGCAGAGATGCAATCTAAAAATGCTTTCATCTGAGACTTGTGCAAATGAGAGAGTGCTGGTAAATATCAAGCATATGACCTAGCAAAGCAAAATGGTTGCTCAAAGGTAATCTTTAAGTCACTTATTTTTTCTCATTCGTGGATTTCTTTTTTATTTTTTTTTAAGCTTAGTGATCTGTGTTAATGTTGTTGTAAATACTCAGAGTCTCTATAGGGAATTGCAGGTGTTTGTGCAGCATTATGCTTCTTGGATGTAATTGTCATTTGAACCTTAAATTATCTTTACTTTCATGCCTGTTAGTAATCATTTGATTACATGATTTCACAGAGTGAAAACAGGGAAAATTAACTGGAAGACAGAGGTGGCTCAAGTGATTTGTTTCTCTAGATAAATATACTCCAGCTTGTTTCAGTGTGTAAAATAGAAGTCTACAATATTCAAAGTCATTTAAAACGCTATACAGATATTTCTGTTTGCTAAAACTTTTAAGATTCTTTGTAGGCCTCTAAATTGATCACGAGAAAGTTATAGTAGAGCAAATATGGAATTTTTAAAGTTAACATGTAGGAAAGTAGAATTTCCGAATGTACCTCGTATAAATGAGGAAATTTATACATGAACTAAGTTACATACATTTCCCAATGTCTTACTTTGATTTTTCAGAAAAATTTTTAAATTGTTTTTCAAAAACAAAAAATCTTTTTCAAAGATTTTTTTCCTTCAGTTCTTAGAAGAAAGCACAGATAACAGTGCTCTTCCTCAAGGTCTGCTCACTATAAGAGTGTGGGCTCAGTGCATAAATTTAAATTATGCTGTCCATTTTCAGTAGCAGTGCACTCAGTTTTAATGTTCTGCATTTTTTGGTATCTTCCCCAACTTCTATGGCACATTAAGAAATTTGAACACATTTCTCATATAAACCTTCATAAAACGAACAATTAATCCCTGGTTCATTGTTTTATGTTCATGATTGTCCATTTCCTACACACATGTGCAAGCACACATATGTTCATGAGTATACTGTATAATTATTATTGAGTTAGAAGTGGTATTAATAAATATATTTATAAACTGTTATAAAATTTTATATATAAATAAGTTTATAAATAAAATGTATGAATATATTTATAAAAATAGTTATAAAAGTCTCCAGTAAAGACCTGTTTGATACCATTGTGTTAATGTACACATGTGCACACACCTGCCCTTCTATGAAGATCTAGGGCTGTGCAACTCTGTCTGCAGAACCAAAATGAAGAGAATAATGCAGGCAGCTTTCCCCCTGTTATTATTTCATAAGAGCTGTGTGAATCATAGTACTTTCCTTTTATAATTCAGTAGCCTTGCATTTAGTTTCATGTTTGACCACAGACATAGTGTTACTAGAAGAAAATATTTTTTACAGAGCTCACATTCCATGTTTTTGTCTCAAGACTGTCAGGTAAGTACCTGATACTTCAAAGCTGAACATCAAACTGTAATCCTAAGATTCAAATGGGAGACCTAGCCATTCCCTTTTTTTTAGTTTAGTTTTGAGTTTAGAATTCTCATTTCCTGTCCCTTAGTAAAGAACTTTTTGTACTTTAAAGTTTGCAGATGTTTGAAAAGTGTGCATGTTCTTTGGACTTAGACATGAATGAGGGTTTCTCATAACTTCCTCTTTTCCTTTTTTACTTTTTTAGATATGGGAAAATAGTCTCCACGAAGGCAATTTTGGATAAGACAACAAACAAATGCAAAGGTACGTTTTCTTGGCTGATTATTTGCTAAATCATAGCTTTAGGAAAAGTGATAAACCTGATCTTTGGTTTCAGAACTACTTCCATTTTATTAAAAATCAAACCTTATATGTCACCCAGTTTGTGTCTTACACAGTGTCAGCATATTGCTTACGTTTGTCCCCTGCTGAGTTTTGGCCGGAAACCTAACAGCAGCTAACAGTTTGCCAGAATTCCAGATTTGACGCCAGTACAGTTAACATGCAAAATACTGGTTGGCATCTAGCCCCTGTTTTTAAAAGGGGAGTAGAGTTAGAAAATAGCTTTTCTTTCCTGAGCCTTAGGAGATTAGAGCTGCTTACTGAAGACCACTGGACTGTACTAAAGAACTGTGAAAAGATTACATATTGTGCAAATTGGCTCTATTAATTAGAATAGAGTAGTTTTAAGCAGTACTTAATTACATGTTTCAATACTCCCAATTGTTCTCTGCTGAATGCCTGTTGACAATATTGGCAGCGGGGAGGAGACAACCATTTTCACTGACCAAATTGTAATAGGGAGGGGAGGTCATGCGCCCCTTTGAAATATGCTGCTGCATTAATTTGATGCACTGACCTTCAGTTTTCCGTGTAATTAGGATGAGCTCATCCAGCTCCATGAGCTGGAAGAGGAGGCGTCTACAGTAGGCAGCACTGATGCTCTGTGTTTCTGACTTTTAATGATCCAGCATCTTAACAATAGGCATGTGATTTCTAGGAAAGAGGAAGAATGGAGTCAGCTGACTTTGAATCTAACTACTGACCCTGTGAATTGAAATAAGGTTGACAGGAATAGGCAGAGAAGGCAAATCTCCTCATTAATCAGACCCCAGTTTTTCAAGTAGTGGGGACAGGGCAGTGGCTTAGCACAATCTGAAAAAGGCAAAGCACATAAGTGAACCCTATGGTAGGGGCCTTTCCTTATAAGCCAACCATTTCCTTTAATCTAGACTCAAAATGGTTCATTGTATTTCTGTCTCTTCTTCAAAGTGCCTAAATTTAAAGGAGCTATTGTGGCAAATATCTCAGCACATGTTTAATCAACATGGCACATTAAGGCAGTTTTGCCTTGAAACAGTGAACAGAGCATGCTTTGTATAGAGTGGTACCCGATAAATATTTTAAATGAATTAAACTAGAGAGAGTCAAATTGTAGACTGAAATGCGAATACTTACTCGACAAGATTAGTACTTTTAACACTTATGAATGACTGGGAGAGCAGAGACACAGAAAAAAGTCTTTTGGTTTTATAAAGAAAAATAGCCTCTTGCAGACATAAAACAGGAAACTGATCTCAAACATCAGCTTCAAACTAAGAGAGAAATCACAGTAGACAAGTGGTTTTAGCCTTACCCTACCTCTCCTCCTTTTCTTCCCCACCCAAGAAGAAATCTGCCATGGCAGTTCAGTATGTTAAAAAGAAGAGCTGCCCTGGTTGGGTGAGGGAGAGATCCCAGAGGCCTCCCTGATTGAATTCTCCACCACACCCCTGAACCGAAAACCGCTATTGTACCCTCTTCTTTCTCCAACGGCAACCTATTTCGTAGAAGACAAAATTTCACAAAGTGCTCAGCATAATCTAGAAAAGGAATGGGTAAAATAAACTAATGCCAAATCTAACATAGTATCAGAATGCAAACCTATAACAGTTGGAAAGGGCCCGTAGACAAGTGGAGAGATTTATGAGGCCTCTAAATAAGGGTAGGAATAAGTCAGAATTGATTTTAGATACAGGTCTTCTGGAAACCTTTGAAAGTGGGTCTTGGGAGCTTTGTGTATGTGGGCAGTCATAGAAACTTCCAGGGCTCTTCCTCATACAAGCCTCCCAGCAGTAGGTGTCAGCAGATAGATACCTGGTAGGCAGGTGGGTGAGTGAGCAGGAAGAGTATGCAAGAGTGGTTTTATAAAATCCTGAAAGTGAGAATGAGAGAGCCTGGGGAAAAAATGTAATTTTAGGACAAATGAGAAGAAATAACACTTAACTTAGCTCATGATAAAGTGTTACCCCATATAACTTGACATGGTAGGAAGGTAGGTTTATAGATGATAAATAGAATGATAGATGAATATAGATAAACTAAAGCACAAAAATTATAGAATATTAGTGTAAATGAAAGGTGCTTTTGTTGTATACTAATTTTTATGATTAAACGGATCAAAGAATTTTGCACATAGAAATAAGAGAAAGTCCCAGAACATTTTCTGTCACCTAACGTATTTTGGACAAAATTAAGCTGAAAGGAACATTAGTCTGAATAACATGTAGCATACTTGTGAAATTTTAGAATTTACGATTCAGTTGTTTTTTATATTATAATTTTTGTCAGAGTTTAGCCAACAAAAGGTATTTAAATGTATACCAACACTGGTGTATGTGGCAGTTCAGGATGAAAAAAAAAAGCTCACGTAGGATTAATTGTGAAGCTGATTGATCAATCATTTATACTTACAAAGTTGCATGTAAGACCAGAACACATGTACACACCTAAGTAAAAATGGGTGAGGATAAATCTGACCAACCAGAAAGATAAAGGTGAGAGCAGGAAACATCACGTGATTACAAAATGTCCCTGTGTTTCCTAGTGGTGAAAGCAAAACTAGAAAACCTAGCTGTTCCCATGATTCACTCATCACAATTTCCTGGGGAAAATCCAGGCAGCAGGAGTAACGTGGCAATTCCTGGTCCTGAGGCTAGAAATAATTCTCCTGGGGAACTTCAGTGAGAGGATGCCATGCTATTTAGTGAACCCCACCTTCAAAAACATCTCATACATACTTACATAAGGAAATCCATGCAACCGGAGTAACTCAAATTTTATATAATCTTATATTTAATTGAAAGTAATCAAGGTAGAGAAAATGAAAGAGCAGAAGGTTGTGTACTTGCCTATTACATCTGTTTTCAGCAAATGGTTGTGGAATAGCTATAGTGTGGGAGGCACTGGAAAAGAGGTAAGCAATTAATTAAGTACAACCATTATGGATATCACTTAATAAGGATATAACAGATAAAAGAATGCTAATATTACCTGGGTGGATAGTAACTTCAAGTACAACAACATTGAAATTGAGATATTCTGTTTATTGTAACTTATTGACAATAGCAAAATGGGAGGGAAAAACTTAAATATCCATCAATAGGAGCTATGTCATTTCAGTGTAGCTGGGTGTTCATTTATGAGCTACTGAAACTGTGTATGATAGAGGCTGTGGGCATGTGCCATGTGTGTGTCTTCACAGAGTGTTGCATGTACGTGCATGTACATGTGGCATTAACAGCAGATTTCTAAATAATGCCCAAAATATATTTAACCTAATTTCTAACCAGGCAGTTGAGTAGCAGTCTCTGCTTTTATATGGATCAGCCTTTTCCTGTTTATCTCCAATCTGGCTGTTTCTCCACTAAGTCAAAGTAAAACTGCTTCAATACAATTCCAAGTAATATAAGGAAGCACTTCCTGTTTCAGCTTTAACATTCATCTCTCCTAAAATGTCTGTTTCTGAAATCAATAGTCTGCTCCATTTTATTACAGCTTGTTTCGTTACCAGGCACTATTTTTGGTATTAATACTGTAAAACTGACTTCGGACTGTTTCTGAGCTTTCTCTTTGATTTTGGGATGTATGTTTGTCTATTTTGACACTGGTACTATACTATCTAAGTTGCTATTTCTTCATAACATCTGTAAATAAGTGATAGGCCCTGCCTCTCTTCTACACAACCTCCAAATGGTGCTTTTCTTTTCCAAAATATTCATTCTCATTTAAAATCAATTTTGTAATAATTGATTTGAGTTCCAAGAAAAACTCTGGTATTTTGCCTGGTACCTTGATCCTTTAGACATGTAGTAAATATAACTTAACCTTTTCTCAACATTTAGGCATTATCACAGAGAAAAATTTGTCATTGTTTTAATACAGTGATACTCATGGGATCTGTTGAGATTCATGGCTTTGTTTACTTTTGTCCTGTTCTTTGTTTGTATAGTTTTTCTCTTTTATTGCTTGTTATTAGTTTTCACTGCTAGATGCTATTCATGTGCTTATTTTCACTCCAACCCTTCTTCTTCTTAATTTTTTGGTTTTGATTTGTTGTGGTCTAGGAAAACAAGTGACCAGCTCATTAAAAATGTTTGTAAAGCTATGAATAAATAAGCTTTGAACAAAGACCTCTCTCAGGAGTTGTTGTTTGTTTGTTTGTGATGTGATGTGATATTTTCTTTTTCAACTTCAGACCATGAACTGCTGAAACAACTATTTTGGGTATTTGAAGGCATTTCCCTCTAGATGTGATATATTTTAGGTAAACGAGTATGATATTTTTAACCAAGTACTAAAATTTAGATTATTTTATATTTGGGGTATCTAATATATGTTCTAATTTTAATTTTGAAAAATAAGATTTAGTCTGCAGAATAAGCATAATTTTTTGTTTCTGTCTTTCATAAGCCCTGTAGGATGGCTCCATCTTTCTTACCAAATCGTTAAAAACACCATTTCTCTGAAGTTAATTTCCCCACCCCCTTTTTTTCTTACCTTGGTTGGCAACTTAGACGTCATTTTTTTCAGTAACTACAGGACACTTAAGAAGAAGATCATGAATAGGAAAAAGCTGGTTCTTTTCTTCCCCCCACCTTGAAAGGAGGCCTGTCCAGCCTGTGATAGACAACAGGGAAGAGCCTGGGGAAGCCACTGCTCTGTGGCTGTGAACGCCTGAGATCTGTCAGGACATTTCCGTTCCTGTTGCCTGCATCAGAAACAAAGCGAAATCATTCTTTTACTCTTTACGTAATCCTAAAATAATGGCTTAAAAACTGAGTGTGTCTTGCATTTCAGGTTATGGTTTTGTCGACTTTGACAGTCCTGCAGCTGCTCAGAAAGCTGTGTCTGCCCTGAAGGCTAGTGGGGTTCAAGCTCAAATGGCAAAGGTAAGTTGAGAGCCAGCATCATTCTTCTTCTCCATTCTGTGGCTTTAGTTCTGAAGCCTGACACATCTGCTTTTTCAGTCACCATTGGCATTTTCCCCCTCGTCCCTGCTCGCCATGGTTCCTTCTGGACACTTGTCCCGTGCCTCCACATTCTCAACACTAGCTATTGCGCCAAAGACGATTCTTCATGATTTAATGTGTGAAGGAGGGTTTATAAGTGTATAAAATTTACATAGTAAATTATGTAACCGCATAAGTAAATTGAGAAATAGCATCAGATTGTCTCAGGTAAACATGTATTTGTGAGTCTTTAAGCTCTGTACTGTTTTTTAAAAAATAATTTTAAAATGTCAGTACTCAAGGAATTAATACATTTTAGACACAACTCAAAAGGTAATTGTGTATAGAATGTTGTATTTTGAAAAAATACATAACTTGTACATATGCTGCTTTATACAGATATGCTAGTAGTTTTAATGTACATGTGAGCTGCATTTGCTATTGCTTCTGTACAGTAAACATTTTTACACATTGATTATTTATGGGATATTAATCTACTCTTTAGTAGTTCTGCAATGACGTTACTTATGACTTGTTTCAGATGAACTTTTAGTATTCTAGATGAGGAATATTTTTGAAAAATTTCTCCAGGTGAGGAATATGCCTGAATGTTCAAGGATTATAAAATGGAGATCACATGTTTTATGTTTAATAAGAATTTTAACACAGTGCACATTGATATTAATTACTGTAAACTATAATATTTTCCTTAAACTTTTGTCTTATGATAGTTTTCCTCTAAGGGTTTTACCTGGGATGTCATAATTTATGAATATAGGTGGAGTTGGCCACCCTGTCATTGTCTCTTTCTTTTTGCATTAAGTTCATCATCAAAGTTAGACAGTTTAAGATGCCTGGTCCCTTTTTCAAAAGTAATGATGCTTTTGGTAGACTTGATAGACTCAAAAAAGTTGGCCTTACATTACCCTAATCAGTAGTTCAGGTGCAGTTATAGTTCTAAAGCTAAAAGAACCTCAGATTGTCTGGTGCACCCCCAACCCCACTTTCAAATAGTCATGGTCTTTGTATTAAGAAAAACTAAAATTCAGAGAGGAGAGTAACCTTTGAGATCACACGCATCTCTTGTGTATACATTCTATAACAGACATTCCGTTATGCACTAAACACATCCAGGAGTCACTATTGTCTAAATTGATATTTATGTCCGGGTCTTTATTCCCCAAATGTGAGCTTGGGTAATATCCTAATATCTAGTACCTGCAGTGCAGTTATTAAGATGTTCATGTAATTATGTAGAATTTTTTTTTTTAATCTGTGGTCCTTCAGTTGCTATGGAAAATATTTTCAGACTCAGCAATTTTTTTTATTTTAAGTATTCTTTCCCAAAGAGTAATAATTTTATATCATCTGGCCTCATAAAGTACAGAAGAAAGTAATTTTATACTGTCCTGTACTACTTTTGAATAGTAGCACATGTTCGTTCCCTGAGGAGCATTCACATGTCCATAAGGAAAGAAAGTTTATGGAAGTTAATGGACTCTGGTATAAATATCTTATCTGCTAAGACCTTAATGCTACTGAAGAACATGTATGCAGCTACCAGTATGGAGATTTACTTTGAATAGGATAATCAACATAAGTAAAGAATTCAGGAACTAATAAAAGGGGTCACCACTCTAAAGTACTCATTGCCAATTAATATTTTTAAAGCTTTACATTGAGTTGGACTTAATTAGGATTTTCTTCAATTGCAGACTGAGGAGTTAAAATAAACAGAAACTGTAAATATTAAGCACCATGATTTTCAGATTTGTCCGTGATACAAAACAATTCCCTGTGGCATTGTTGAAAGGCAGTGATTGAGGTTTTAAATATATTTATTGTGAATATGTGATATCTGCTTTGCATAATGATCCACAGAATGTTTAACCTGGCTCTTTAAACAATGGGTGATCAGACACTTTATAAGCAGGACTCTTAGGGCACTCTCTTCTTTTTTCCATTCTGTCCATTCTAACTCACTTCATGAAGTTCATGCTTCCTCTTTTGCATAAAACACAAGGCAGGTTCCATGACTGTTCCAGCCACTTTCATTATTTCAAAAAGTCCCTTCAGTTGCATCTTTCATTTCCGGTCTTTCTGCTTTTTTTTGTGGTAGAACAAATAATATATGGATATATTCTTGTTCGTTGTTGATTTTTCATCCAAACTCAATGAAACATACATCTTCCAATACATTTTCAGCCCTTTCTGTCTATGTTTACATTGCCCAGCCTCAATATAATATTTTAAATAAGATGTCACATGGAGAAAGACTCAAGTTACATTCCAAATACATTTTGTAGAATGTCAGAATCATGTATGGAGGTTTTGAAAACTTCTGAGAGTGCACAGAAGGGATGTGCATCTTGGATATTGCTGGTGCTGAGAGACATCATAGGCTGCAAAGCAATTGTTTGCTGAAAACCATATTGAGTATTTGGTGACCAGGAAGCAGTGTTTTAAAGGTTTGCATCTCAACATAACCATTTATTATATGTATGCATGCCCACAGAAATGTATTTAGTTACATTTTAGGGAATAAATATTTAGTTACATTTTAAGAAATTGGTTGGGGGTTGTAACCGATGTATAATACATTAGAATTTTTTCTTATTTAAAATAATGTGAAATAGGCTTCTGGTTAACACTTTGCTGAATATCTGACTTTCAAGAACAGATTGATGTTAAGTGCATGATGCCTATAATTTAAATGTCCAATCCTGTTTATTTGACAAAAATTTTGAGTGCCATATAATGATGTTAAAGTATCTCCCTTCCCCCAGATCAGATCTGCTCCAAGTAGCAAGCTTATAGTGGGATGGGAACATGATTAGTTTCCTTCCTATTTCCAAATCTTGTATTTTTCCTAGTCTTCCTTTAGCTCATTAGCTGCAGCTTATAATCCCTCCAGGGTTGGAACAGTGGTAGAAGATGGGAAAGTTTCTTGACCTGACAATGATGTAATCTGGTATTGATTTCTTTGGCCAGGAAGCAAGCTGATGCTTTCTCTTGTGGAATGCTTCTAGAGTTTTTCTGAGATCTTTACCCACCCACCCCAACCCCAACTTCCTAAATTTTTTTTTTGCTGTAGTTCCTTGAAGCTAGAGAATATATGTCCTCTGGCTGATATCCTCACTCCTGATAATCTGATGATCATCTTCAGTCTCTTTCGACTAGGATCTCTTACCCCTCAAGGCAGCCTTCTTGGGAGAATCTAACACAACCCTGGCCCAACTCTACTTGTGTGGTCCACATCTGATCTACCTTTGCCAACCATCTACACTTGTAGGCCACTTCAACCAGCCTTTCTCCAACGAGATGCCTTAGGTTTTAAGTCAGACATTGATCCATTGAATCCATCTAGCTCCATGGGACACAGGTCAAGCTTCCTGAGTGGAAGTCCCTATTGAAGTCCCTCTTGCTTGACTGGCAGTGACAGGGAAGCAGTCTGCAAGGTGAGACTCAGAGCACATCAGTGTTTCTCTCCACATAAATGCTTATTCTCAGCCTCTCCAATCTGTGGACAGATAGGAGGTGGGTGGTCAGCTAAGCATCACAAACCAGTCCTCTGCCCGCTGCTTGCAGGCTCTCTTTAGGTGATCTGGTTTCTCACTCTGGAATGTGGAAGTGCCTGACACCCATTGTTTTGTGGCCTCTGTAACTCTGCTGAAGCAGAGTTAGAAAATGACCTATTTTATTAATCTGTTGAAAATGCAGAGGACTTACTTAGAGTGGTCCCTTGAGTACTTACCTAGGCATCATTTCCACTGCCTGTGATGTTAAGCAACATAGCATATTAAATATACACTGTTTTGAAGTAGGCTTTACCATCATACATTTTGTTAAAAAGGGACTGGGTATAGATGGGCACTATATGTCGTGTCAACAGGGCACTTTGAATGCTAGCTTTCCCATGGGTTGATAATGAACACTGTTCAAAGACCTCCTTAGGGGGCCGGCCCGGTGGCGCACTGCTACAGTGCGCCGCTTGGGAGCGCGACGGCACTCCCGCCAAGGGTTCGGATCCCACATACAGACTGGTTCCCGCTCACTGGCTGAGCGAGGTGCAGGCGCAGCACCGAGGGTTGCGATCCCATTGCCGGTCCCGGTCCGGTACGGGCGCGACACTGAGGGTAGCGATCCGTTGCCGGACACAAAAAAAGACAAAAAGGAAAAAATTTTTAAAAATTTTTTTAAAAAAGACCTCCTTAGGAGGCTTGATACTGTAAATTGGCTGAGAAAAGGAATCCCTCCCTCTGTCATCTGTGGAGAGGACCAGTACGCAGGTTCTGAGATGTTGGCCAAATGCCAACATTCTGCATGTTGCGAATTTCTTCAGGTCCCTGTAGAATGACTTGTGTTTCCTGGACCTGATTTCTTTTTTTATTATATGGTTAAAGTTACAAAAGGTATTTTAGCGTGTCTGTTATTCTATTCTATAGAACCATGGATTTGAGTATCTACACTTGACTTAGCCCCTTCATGCTTGTCTAGAGGAAGGAGCACCTGGCACGCATCCCTTGGGGAGACAGTTTTCAGAGGAAGTTGAAGTCTGGCTCCTATAGTTGGTGATAAAGGGACCATCATTGTCCACTTTCCTCTACTGAGTTTATCAGGACACTGTTAGTATGTTGAAAACACATTGCCACATATTAAAAGCTAGCTGTATTATATAATCAGAAAAAATTAAGAGTCATTCAATATGGGGAGGGGGGCAGAAATATAATATCGTTTGACACATTGGCCATCTGGGTTGAAAAAGGACCCCACAAATGTCCAAAACTGAATTGCAAAGCTGCAAATTGAGAGCATTAGAGACCATTGTTTCTAATGGTCTCTAATGCTCTCAATTATTTTACTGCTATTGTTTCTTATTCATGTTTTAATTTTCACTGCCTTGTTTGGTACTTGCCATATGGTAGATATTAAGTGTCTTGTTGATGATCAAAAAAATCAGTTAATCAAAAGGACAACTTTCTTCTGAACTTGGGCAGATATTGAGAATTAAAAAAGGGACATTTTAAAATTATGTCCATTGAGTATCCTGATGAAACTTAGAAATAGCCAAATAGAAATGGCCTTGGGCCTTTTGGAAAACCTGTTTATATAAAATTTGCCAGATGTTTCAAATGTGTGCATTTTTCCAAATAAAAGGCTCATTCTATGAAGAGTAAAGAACTCAGATAATGAGCTAAAAACAGTTAAAACTCAAATCAACATTGGTGATACGTGTTAACAGAGCAACTTTTGTAGGCCTTTCAGTCCCTCCTAATAAGCCTGGTGGGGGTCAGCAGAGCATGGTATATTAGTTGGCTGCTTGTAAGTTTGCACATTTTGTTCGATAAATAGGCAGTCAAACAAGCGAGAATTATTCTCATCTCCACCCAGAGGTCCGCCATGCCCCAAGCAGCTTGTAGTCACATGCCTGTGAGCAGCTATCTGCTGGTTGGTGAACCTATTCAGTACAAGAGAAAACAGATGTCTGCTCGTCCTGCCAAGTCCCTTTCTTGCATTTTAGGAACCGTTCCACACGCACAGGGAGGTTTTTGTTAATTTCTTTCAGATGATGACTGAGTGCTTTACACCATGCGAGACCTCTGAGCCCCGCTTTTCTATTCAAGTGAACATTAGTAGCCGTTTATTCCTCTCATGGTCAATGTGATAGCTAGTTTTCTACTTGTTAGAGAAGCCCTTCAACCCCTTCCATGCCTAGGGACATAAAGAGTAAAGAGCCATGCGTTGGTCCCATTTTTATGTTTGGCCACGTGTAATTGACAGAATAATTGTTTTTTCAGACATAGCACTGTATGTAATAAAACAGTTATTGTTGTCACGATTTGGACAAAATTACCCTTATTCAAGAACCACCACCAATTACTGGGAGTATTACCTGTTCTATTCACTAGGAATGTATGGTAATGAGAATGCAGGGACACTGGAGGGGTAGATGTTTTTGTGGCCTATGCTGCCAGTTTACATTTCTTTTCATTCCTTGTGTTTTGTGGGTTTTTTAGTTTTAAAATTATTACAACTTTGTGGGCAATGTTTGCAGGACAAGTTGACTGTTTGAAAAGAAAGACAAATAACATTAGCTCTAGAAATTCTCCCAAATAAAGAAACCTAACTGACAAGGTTGTTACTGTTGAAAACAAATGCATTAATATCATAGGAAATATTGACCTGTATTTAGTCCACTCTATCTCTCTATATCAAAGAATGGGTTAAGAGCCAAATTTCTTTCTGGATTCTGATTTTTAGCACTTTTTAAAAATGTTTTCTTCATTGTTAAACCCTCAAGTTGGATCAAGATTTTAAAGAATATACAATATTTTTATTAATATTTTAATAACAGAAGCAACTAAAAACAGATTTAGAAAGTACTTAGTGCCTACATTGACGATCCCCTTTTAAATACTTCGCATATGACAACTTTTCCTATGGGCAATCATAAATATTAGTCATTTAGATTCTCATAATTGTAATTAAAAAGAAAGTCCACAATATTTTCATATATGTTTCTTAATGTAACATTTTTTGATGCCATATCATTGTCCAAAGAGTGTTTTAATGCCCTTTAATTAGGGGATTCCCAGCTTTATTTTGAAAAAAGCATGATTTTAACTAAGCATGACTCAGACATCTTTCTATGATAGGTTTGATCATGCCTTCCCACTACTTCTGTGCCTCCAAAACCTCTCTGTTTTTCAAGGTGTGGTTTTCAAACTGCAATTCCTCCCTCCTACTCCCCTGTCACTGTTTAGGGTGCAGGAAATCACAGGATACACTGGCTTATCTTCCTGCAGTATCAGTGTGACTTGATGGTATTAGGTCAGAAACATTGTTTTTCTTCTAAAACAAACTCTGATAGCTAGGTTGCAATACTAACATGACTTTTTTTTTTTTTTAATGATAGAGCACAAGACTTTAAGAAAATTTCGGAGCTCTGGCTAGGCTACTTTGACTTTTGCCTACAGACTCTTTGGAATGCATAGTCACTCTTCTTGCTGTTAGCATTGCCTAAAGTGGGAAAGTATAAGCAGCAATGACTGACAAAGTAAAATCAAACTCCTCAGACAGCCTTTCACAATCTGGTTTCAGCCTCTGGACTTCTGTTTGTTCCTCAAGTCCCAACACAATGTCAGGTCCCTGATCTCCCTGATACGAGCTCACCTGTCTGTTTCCCATTGTGGCTTGCACACATCTCTAGGATACCATTCATTCCATGTGTGTCTGTCTCCCCTGCTTCAGTGTAGAGTCATAGCTATTTTATAGCTAGAGTCGGGGATACAAGATGCACTGGAAATGTCCTTTAGCTGTTTGAGTCCACGTGCACCTCCAGGCCTACCCTCAGGGAGAGAGGACACTGTTTGTGTTGGCTGGGTCAGGACCAGACTGTAGTAACAAACACAGTATTGCACTGCACAGAAGCTTCAGAGACTTGGGAGGTTAGGACCATAGTGAGATGGCTAATGGAGGAGCCGTGCAGTTAGCTGGGTGGAGTTGGTAGAGGCAGCGAGTGAAGTGGAAATAAGGGGATAGGACTTTATCTGTTATCCCACCTCAGAAGAATTTGAAAACTTTAGTACCTAAGATCATTTCCACTGCTTTTCCCTGTATTTTGAAACATTGTATCTGTTATTAGCCTGCATGTATTAAAGAAATCACTTTCCAAGTTTTAGACATTAAGATAGACTTTATATAATTTTCAATAGATTTTGCTCAGCGTAATATAATCAGCGGTACCACACTGAACTTCCATAATTTCAGCTGAAAGCAAAGATAGGTGCCATTTTGGTTAGCCTGTGAAGGGTTGAGGAGACACATGTTCAACTTGCTGTTGAGCATTTGAAAATTTTATATTTTTTCTTGGACACAACCTGAAAGTCGAGGCATCTAGGCTGGGAGCCACCACTGTAAATCTCTGGGACTGACCTGGCTGTGTGCAGCCTTCCTCCACATCAGGACCAGGAAGTTGTAGGGACAGTTCTTTTTGTCCATAGTTTCTTGGTCTTTGATATCTTTAATTCTTAGGATACCAGGGCATTTGCCATTCCCTAGGATACCAGGTTGTTATTTTAAATCTTACCAGATAAGTATAGCACTTTTATTTGCAGATTATGTGAAAGAAAAAGTTTCATTTCAGGTTTAGTTAATGCTATGGTACATTTGAAAGTAGAGACCTGAATGAATTTAACATGTGTAACGCTTCACATATATTTTGAAAGTACTGTGTATTTTAGAAAGCTAGAAAGTTATAGCAAGTGTGCTATTCTGTTGCCTAAGGCTAAAGCATCAACTAATGACTTTACTAATAGTAGTTATTGCAGAAAAAGCATAAGCTGTCATATGCTTCAATATGTAAAGATAAAGTTGGTTAACGAGATCAAGGGAAAGGCTGATTTTAAATCCATTAAGGCTCTTCTAATCTCACAGTTGCAGAGGTAATTTTTGACTTGGTTGGAAAATATTCCAGTTGTCATATAAACTTTTTCCCTGATGATTTGAATACCATATTCTTTGTAAATAGACATAGCAGTTATTGGTTCTCAGAAAATTCAGTTGTACGTTTTTGGTTTTAGCCGATGCTACCTCAGCAAAGCAGGGGTGGGTGGGAAATGATCTAAGAGCATTGCTTCTCAAACTTCCACTGCATATGAACCACCAGGGGATCTTGTTAAAATGCAGGATCTGATTCTGTAGGTCTGGGATGGAGCCTGAGATTCTGCATTTCTAATAAGCTCCTAGGTAATTCCATTACTGCTAACCCCTGGATCACTCTTTGTATAGTGAGGAGTTAGCAAACCTGCCGTCCCCCATCTACTCTTGAGTTCAGCCTTTTCAAGATTCTAAAATTTGCTCTGCCCAGAGTGTATCATTTCATATGGCTTTGAGATTTCTTGTTTTGTTTAATTTTGGAACTCTCCTTTTTCCATTGGTGATCACAACTCAAAAGTAGTATGGACTCTGCCATAGATGAGAGAAGGGAAATGTGGGCAAAGTCCCTACTGGACTCTAGATGACTTAGTCCAGAATCCTTCTTCATGTATCTCTACATTGAATTATTAGCCATAATAGCTTCCTGCACAATAGTATGCCTGAAATGGACTCCTAAAAATAGCAGTGGAAGAGACGTTGGTTATTTTTGGAAACACTGGAAACAGCTGAGAGTAGTGGTTTCATAAGGGCATCCTCTCCAACTAAGTGGTGCCTGCCAGCAGTGCCACTTCCAAATCTACTAAGGATGGCTCCGTAGCATCAGGTCTGGCCTGCACAGATTGTCCCAGCTTCAAACTGTTTTCAAGTGTGCAAGGTGACTTGGGTGTTCTGTAGTTCCCATGGTCTCACTAGGTAGTACTTTTAAAGGACTTCAGCAAAGAGAATGGCTAAATAAAAGTAGATGTGTTAACATAAATATCTCACCTTCTGTTGGAAATTAATGGACGATTTCTCTTCTGTTTTAGCAACAGGAACAAGATCCTACCAACCTGTATATTTCTAATTTGCCACTGTCCATGGATGAGCAAGAACTTGAAAATATGCTCAAACCATTTGGACAAGTTATTTCCACAAGGATACTGCGTGATTCCAGTGGTACAAGTCGTGGTGTTGGCTTTGCTAGGTAAGCAAGCTGCCCTGTCTTTATTATGTGAACAGCAATAGTTCTGCTAAGTTTTCTTAGAAAATAATAAAATGACCAAGAAGAGAGGATTTAAGCCCGGATTAAAGAGAGGATTTAAGTTATGGGAGCCAGTTGCACCATGAACTTAAATTACATGGAAATATTGGTTTGCATTTTCCACATCTTTTGGAAGTTCATTAACATTCTTAAACCTAAGCATATATTTAGTGCAAATATTTAGTGGCTAAATATTTGGTGGCTAATGACAAGGAACTATCACATGAGCAATAGTTCTGAAAGTGGGTGCTCTTAATATTTTGAATAATTAGATCAGGATACTTCTAACTTCTTAAATAACAGTTGGACTCCTAAATTTCATAGCTAAATCAGTGTTTTCTCCTTAGGTGGAAATTTGATTCCTCATCAATAATGTGAATGAATTAGGTTTTTAAATGAAATATTTCAAATATTCAGGAAAAATAAGACAAAAATATGGAACCTGTCTACCACACAGATTTAACAAATATTAACATATTACTGTCTTTGCTTCAATTTTTTTTTTAAGAAATAAAATTTTCGATATGTAAGTAAAGTACCTTCATTCCTTCCATCTGATTTTTATCCCTTTTTTCCCAGAAAGGATACTTCAGTGTACTGGTTAATTTGGCTTCTAAAAGAAAAAGAGCTTTGGTTTTTGGTAGAGTTCTAATCCAAAATCTGATTATATATGATACATTCTTTAGAACCTGTTAGTACTGTGCAGTAACAGATAATGTCTACATGTTTTAAAGTATTGACTTTGATTTTGGAAGAAAAATTGCTGACATTTTACTCTCATGTACAAATGACGTTCACATCTTACCACAGACCTGTAATATCAACAAAGCATTATTATTACATACTATTTTACATATGAGAAAATTGAGGCCAAAAAATAGACTTTTCCATTGTCACCTAGCTGCCAAGAAATGAAGCAAAGGCTAGTACTTAGTTCTTCTGGCTTTTAGTTCATTGCTTTTTCTGTTAGGCCAAATAATCTTGTAATAGAACTGAAAGATCCTCCTGGTAGTCAGTCACCAAGGCCAGCATCTCTCTGGTGTGTACTTCACTGGTTATAGGGATCCAGGTGATGAGATACTGAATGGCCCAGCATCATTTTGTCACCTCTGCAGGTGTTCCTCTGAAAGCAAATTGAATAGTATCATTTCTGTGTCTAAAGATGAAACCCAGTTATACTTCTATTGTTTTTAAAACTGTTGCTACCTATTAAAACTAAGGTGTAACTCTCTGTGTAGTCCAGGAGTGTAGTGCAATTCAAGTAGATTATTCAGTGTTGCTTCCAACAAAGAAAAATAAGTCAAAGTAATTTAAGTTCCCAGAAATGTTTCTCAAATGCTTTTAGCCACCTGTAGATATAGAATAACTTGTAAAATTAGGCCCCAGCCTTTAATTACTCCTTTGGAGCCAAGAAGACACAGAGGTACATAATTGACTCCACAAAGTTAATTTTAAACCTGAAGTGAATATCAAAACATGCAAGGCACAGCCTCTAATTGACACTAGTTGTTGTCATGACTTTTTAGTCTGTCCTTTTGTGAATTCATAAAAGGAAAGACTGTCTTTAAAATGACCAGTATTCAAGCAAGTACCAAATACAACAGTATTTTAAACTATTATTTTTTTTATTCAGTATCATGACTAAAAAAGCTATAGAATTTCAATTTTCCAACAATTAGAATAAAATTGTACATTTGATATACTTGATATTAAACATTCTGGATATAATTTTTCCTTTCTTTTATGATTCAGATGTACTCAGGTTATCAGTTACCATTTTACTATAGAAGTACACAAGCAGCAGTTTGAGAAAAGATAGAATAAATGTTCTTTTTCTTTATCATATTCACATTTTTGTTAGGTTTCATTTTATTAAACCTATAAGAATATATCTGCATTTACAGAATAGAATGAAAACTAAGAGACCTCTACATACTTACGTGTTCTATTTTTATGTATAAACAGGATGGAATCAACAGAAAAATGCGAAGCCGTTATTGGTCATTTTAATGGAAAATTCATTAAGACACCACCAGGAGTTTCTGGTATGTTGTTTGCCTAAAATTTTATCAGTGGTCTTTTGTATAATATTTGTATATCTTTAGCACATGATGACTCTTATATCAAGAATAAAAAGCCCTCATGTTGCTCTTTAAAATTTGTTGCTGTGGATCTACAAGTAAGACTTTAAAATTCACCTCTCCCAGGGGAGGCACTGGATGTTTAAATATTAATAGGAGCACACCAGCAGTAAGGAGCTGTCTGACTTGTAAAGCCTTGCAGAATCTGCAACACTCCTGTCCTGCAGTCACGTTCATTGAGGAGTATGGTGTCTTTCCATCCCAGCCGGGCCTGGGCCTCAACTCCTCTGGCCTTTCTCTCCACTCCACTTGAGCCATTCCCCCCTTGCTCTGCCTTGTGTTGTCATTGTCAAGAACACCACACCTCGGGAGCTTTTCATTCCTAGGTCGCACTCACTCAACACCCATGAAACCTGATCTGAAACACAAAGACATCCTTCCAGTTTCAATGTTTATTGGTCCTTCTTTACCTGTTTCCCATCCCTACCAAATCTGATCTGCATTTTTGAGCACTAAAACTACTTCCTTAGTGGTTTCTTTGGTTTTCTTATGCCCCATCCCTTGGTCACACCTGCCTGGCAGAATGTTGAACCTGGATTATTCCTCCAGCAATCCACCTTCACTACTCCAGTTATATCCAAGCAGCCAAAGGTTGACACCACCACAAATTAACTGTCTCCAGCTTGACCAGACCCTCGGCACCTCTGGTCCTCACTGAGCTTCCTCAGCCTTCCCCAGCAGCTGTTCTCAATTTTCACCAGCCTGATCAGTCCCCTACCTAAGTCCCTCCCTAACTCTAAGCAGGTAACTTCACTTCCTACTTGATGAATAAAGTTGAGATCACCAGGTGGAAACATTGTGAACTTCCTGCTTTGTCCCAGCAAAGAGTCCTACACCCACATCCCGTCTTACCTCTCTCCTTCCTTAATGTCTCAAGGACAAGGGTTTCAAATCTGTCCTTGAGACCCCATCCCATGGGGACGTTGCTCTGCCACTTATTGCCACCTTTTCTTATCATTTCAATCTGTCTTTTGCTTATATTATTTTTTTTTTCAACAAAACCAAAAATTCTTATTTTTAATTAACAGATCTCTGGCAAGACTAACTAGTGAGGAAATGGAAGAAAATACATAGACAATACTAGGAATAAAATAATGAACATAACTACAAAGACATTTTTTAAATAACAAAATTTAATGAGCAAAACTACAAACTACTGTATGCCAATAAAGTTTAAATTTTAAATAGATAATTTTCTAGATAAAGGTATTTGTGTTTGCAGTCTTGAAAGTAAATTGGACTGAACACTCTATTCCTCTCTAGCTCTTTCTCATGTAAACTTTTTAAAGTACAGTCTTTACTTCCTGAGTGGCTTAAACAACAAATTTATTGTCTTGGAGTTCTGGAGGCCAGAAGTCACGTATCAAGGTGTTGACGAGGTTGGTTCCTTCTGACGGCTATAAGGGAATGTCTGTTCCAGGCCTCCCTCCTTGACTCGTAGGTGGCCGTCTTCTCCCTGTGTCTCTTCACATCGCTTCCCTCTGTGTGCATCTGTCTCTGTATCCAGATTTTGCCTTCTCTTGAGGACATCAGTCATACTGGATTAAGGCCTACCCTAATGACCTCATTTTATTTTTGAAGACTTTATCTCTAAATAAAGGCTCATTGTGGGGTACTGGGGGTTAGGACTCTAACACACCTTTTTTTTTTGGCTGGGGGTGGTGGCAGAGAACACCCCTTAACACTTACCTCCTGATTGTCTAATCTGGAGACCCTCCGGTCGTGCTGTATGCTTTGTCTGCTGTATTTGGTACTGTTGGTCCCTCACTGATCCTTGAAATGTGTCCTCCCTTGACTTCTGTCACACCTATCTCTATTTTCTTTCCATCTTGTGTTAATTTCTTCTCTTTTGTGAATTTATATCTTCTGTCTACTCTTTCTTAGTTGTTGGTGTTTCCCTGAATTCCATTTCTGGCTCACAATTCTGATAGATTTCATCCACACTCAAGATCTCAGCTACTAATATTCTGTTGACTCTCAGACATTTATCTCTCATCCTAGCTTTTCCCCTGAGTTTCAGGCTGCCTGGCCTCAATTGCCTTTCATTCATGCTCTCCAAAACTATACTTGTCTCTCTTCCCATCTCATCCTGCTCCTCCTCTTGTTTTCCTTATCATAATTAGTGGAACTAGTATTCACCCAGGTACCCAAGCCAGGAATCCAGGACTGGGCTCTCCCCACCCACGGTCTTTCATCTCTCACATACAAATAGTCCTTCAAATCCTTACATTTTCTATCTGATTATTTCTGGAATCTACCCTCTTCTTTTCCTCCTACCACACCTAGTTTAATCCCTTATCATCTTTCTCCTAGGCCATCACAGTAGCCTCCCAATTGTCTGCCCTATCTAGTCTTACCTCTCAGATATTGTCGCTGCCTACAGCCAGAGACATTTAGATTAATATACACCTCTGTGTCATTTTATTGCTAACCCCCTGCCACTACCCATAGAAGATCCAGGATTTTTAGAATGACATTGAAGGCCAATTGGAGCCCTTCCCTGCTTCAGTCCTGTCTCCCTCCACTCCCTTTCTTCCTGTTTATTCTCTTCCAACACTGAACTACAGAGGTATTCCCAGCATACCAAGTTGCATCACTTCTCTTTGCTTTCTGTCTTGTGGTTTTCAATGCCTCAGATCCCTGTGGTTCCCTTTAAACTGGCTGTCTCCTCCCCACCCTTCAAGACTCTGTTCAAGACCTGCCTTCTCCCTGCAAGGACCTCCTGTGACCCAGTTGGCTCATAGTCTGTTTACAGAGCAACTGAGGACACCCACCTATATTGTAGCACTTAACGTATATATATATATCAGTGCCACTAAACTGGATGCTCCTTGAAGACAAAAACCATTTTCTCATCTTTTTATTTTCATGCCCATCACAGCACTTGAACCATGCTAAGCAACAACAAATATTTACTGGTTTTGAATAAACTTCACTACACTATAACACCAAGACACTACCACTTCCTTACAAGCTAGCAGCTAGCATATGGGGAAGAAATGAAAACGTCCTCAGATTTGCAGCCAGGCACTAAGCGTACTGCCTGCCAGCAAGGAGAAAGTTTCACAATTTAGAAACCACCTCACCTTGCTTTGACTGGGGGGGGGAGGGGGGTACTGAAATTGTTAAAATAGGCAAAAAGAGAAAAAGCCATATACACCCTCCTCCATTTTTTCTCCCCTATAATTTTAGTCTTATGTTTAGCTGGCAAATAGGTCTGTGTTTCGACTTCCCAATCTGTATCCCAGATCAGCAAGTGTTTGTCAATTCTTACGTTCATGTTAACTGACAGCCCCACTTTCCTGCTGCTACCCAAGCAAACCCTAGGGGTAAGGTTGGGGTCCCACTTAGTGTTGGGTACAGGTCTCGAGAGGGAGTCCTTGACTGTGCTACCCTGGCCACCCATTTGTCAGAATCTCTTAAGTGGATCAGCCATATCAACAAGATATATCCCAAATAATCATGCTGGGGAGCAGGCACTTGTGCTCATCTCTGAACAAAGGAGGAGTCTCTGAAGTGGACAATTGCAGCAGAAGCCAGAAGAATAAGAGCAGAGTGCCCCATTTGGCAAAACACAGAGTTTCCCCCTGGTAGCAGAACCAGGCATCTTTCCACATTTTATATGCAAAAATACCTAACACTGAAGTAAATAGATCCAGTGAGTTGAACCTTACTAAATAGCACAAAAGACAGGTCAGGTCCGACTCTAGAAAGCAGGCACAGAGGCCATATAGAATATTTATTCTAGGTTTTCACACAAGAAAAGGCAGGAAAGCATTGAGGTATTTTGAAGTTAGATTAATTCCAGCCAGAAATCATTGAAGTGAGCAATTTCTCCAAGGCTGTGCATGTGTAACTAGTGTTCAGTATTTATTCTGCCATAGCTCCAAGGTTCCATCCTTAGCTGGATGACTGATGATTGTGATTAGATTAATTTTCTGTATCCGGTTGAGTTTCATTTCAAAGAGAAACTAATTTGTAAGTATGTACAATACCACAGGCTACACTTGATCTTGTAGTACTAAAACCTGACGACAGTACACTGTGTCTGTGGCTGTATCTGAAGTTGAACTGCCCACAGGCGCAAGTTTGGTGCATAAAATATAGGACATGGAGATATGCTATTCCAAGGAGCATAGTGGAAGAGTTCCCGATTCCTTTTTGTTTTTTAAGTTCTATTTTCCCATCAACAACACTTGAGTTGAAAGAAAAGAAAAAGGAATGAGTTTAACTTCTACCTAAGTAAAAACAAGGGAGAAATTTCAGACACGGGAGCCTTTTGTATACTTTACCCTATCAGGCCTTGTGAGATTAGCACCTGTGCCCAGCTGCTGTTTTCTTTGCTTTTCCTGTATCATCCTTTGCAAAGTCAGGACACCCAAGCATTAGTCCCTTTGGAGGGCTACTCATCCACCTACTTGTGACCTTTTTACTTTCTCAACTTATTTTTGCATGCTGCAAGGAAAGCTCAAGAAGGAAAAATATCCAGGACACATTTGTTGTGGTATTAGTCTGAGATAAGATATTCCAATTCCCTGAATGAAGTAGATCACAGATCTATGAAGTTGTCACAGATTGAAGTTGGACAGTTTCCTTTCTTCTCTAAAGGACTTCATTGCTGTGTCATTTAACTGTTCTTTTTAAAGTGGGTTTGCAGACTATTGGTCACACCCATTCAAGAATTTTAAAAGACTGTAATTTCCAAACCACATGTAAATGATTATAGGATCCTCTGCACCTTTGCAGCTAGTGGAGAATAGTTTCTTCCAAGTTGTGCCAAGTGATAAATGGGGCACAGGAAACAAATGAGTTCCTTTTACATAGACAGCATCACTGCCGGGGGTATGGTTTTGCAGTCAAGCTGTCCTCTTTGTTCTGAATCAGTACTTAATTTTGCACCATTT